TGAGGGCGCCTCTTCTGTAGAGCATGTCGGCGTGTTGTCGGAAACGGAGGAAGAGAGGGTTGATACCCTGAGCGAGCAGCTGCTGCTTCTTATCCTCGGGCCATGCGCGAATATCAGCTTCGAATTTGAGCCGAACCTCCTCTTTACAAGTATCCATGAGCTTTTTAGCGAACTGGTTGATAATCAGTTGGTCCTGACGATTCTGCGTGGGCTGGTTGGGTTGCATGTTCGGTTGTTGGTTGTTTTGTCCCTGTTGGGGCATGTTGGCGGGGTTAGCCCCATTCACACCCATAGAAGACTGCCCTTGTGACATGGGCACAGGAGAAACTTGCATGGGCCGCTGAAGTTGGGCGTTCGGAAAGGCCGGGTTGAACTGGGGGCCTCCGGGCCTGGCGCCTTGCTGACTCATCTGATTCATCATGTTCATCTGGTTCATCTGGGCGGGATTCATGCCGTTCATCGGGTTGTTCATGTTGTTGGGAACGCCGCCTTGCATGCGTTGTTGTAATTGTTGCTGGCGCGCAGTCGTCATGACGATGAGCTTTTGCTTGATGTTGGAGACGTATTGGTCCTTTGTCGAAGAAGACATGAAGGTCTGCGTCTCGAACTGGAGGGCGGCGCGCATAGACTCGACCTCGGCGATTTCGGGCTTGAGCAGGCGGTACTGAGTAAAGAACTGGAGGGCCAGCTGACCGCGCTCTTCCGGCTGCGTGCCCTGCTGCCAGCCATTTGGGATCTTGCCTTGTTGCTGCTGCACGCGATAGTGCTGGATGAAGTGGTGGAGTCCCGCGGTGGCCCGGTTCTGTTGCATGCCGTTCTGTTGCATGTTGGGGTTGTTCATGGTGGTGGAGCGCGAACGACCACGGGCGCGCTATGTCGCAGGCTGGCGGAGGTGCGCAAGATACAGGCAGCGGTGCAGTGCCGCGGATGTGCAGTGAACAGCAGCACTCATGCAGGCCGAGAGTTTCAGGTGCGCGGCGGGCGGTGGGACGACTCCGGCGTCGAGGCGTCGTGTCTGGTGCCGAGTAGACGACTTGGTGAGACCTGGGATGGGGGCGGTGACGGTAACGGCAACGGCGAGGGCAGCGGTGACGTGGGAGAAGATGGAAGCGGCCACGGGGGAAAACGTGTCGGGTGTCGTGGAAGAGAGCTGGGCCTGCGGCTCTATGGGCAAGACGCGAGGAAAGGCAGGGCCACAGCTGCTCACCTGGAGTGAGGCTTAGGTGCTTAGGTGAGTGAAAGGCGGAGGCTCGAGAGGACGACGCCAGCTGCGGCTCGAGACTGATCGACACTTGCGGACAGGGCGCAAGGTTAGCGCAGCACCCGTGGACCCAAACGACGGCGCCTAAATGATGCAGCTGCAGGGCTCAGGACGACGTGTCCATGGGACCAGGATACAGCTATCGCAGTGAAGATGTCGTCGCAACAGGAAATACTAAGATGCAAAGGCAGACGTGTTTGGTGGGTGGGTGAGCGAGGAAGATTGCGAAAGGCGACAGAATGGGCGTGCGTCGCAGCCCAGGTGCAGCAATCGCGCCCGTCGCACCTACCTCGTCCAAACTGCAGGGATTATCCGCTAGCCTGCAATTGGTAGGCCCTCTAACGCTCCTGCCCCGGTCCGCCTGGGTCATGCCCCCAGTGCAAAGGAACAGCTGTCGAGGCATGCGCACGACGACTTGCTGCGCTGACGACGTGCTGCATGTCTGATTCATGTATATCAAGTTGCTACCACGGCCGGCGACGGATCCAGCGGGTGCCTGTTGCGCCCCCCATCTCTGTCGACGACTAGGTCTCACAGGTTCGTCGAATGAACGGCACTAGCGCTTGGCTGGGACCCGCCAAATCTTCCGCACTTCTGGTGGCAGGACGAACCATGTGCTCTGCTCGTCTTCCCTCCTCCCCGCTCGGCCGGTCTAAGCGTCGCTCTCATCTTGCAGTCGTTCGTCGTCTTGCTCTGTGTTGTGTTTGAGCACTGTGGCAGCTCTACGATGCAGCGCCTGGTGTGCGTATCGACGACTGCTCGGTTTCATCCCAAACGTCAGGAAGCCCTGTGGCTTGGATGGCGCCATGCCATCTGCCTGATGCCCTGCGAGGGTTCCGCTGCTTTTTCCACTACCATCGCTCACTAGCCGCTTTAGCTGTCATCTGCGCCAGGCGGTGATCAGGGCAATAACGCCTTCAATTCAAATCATCTCGTCCATTTTCCCTATCAAGGACACATGGCAGCCCCATGGATGCAAGCTGCCAATCGCACAATTCCTCATTCGCCATGTATATGAATATCAAGATGAGTACGGATCATATGCCATCGCCACTGAAAGCTGTGAAGTTCGACGCCCTCGTACTCGTCCTCTACAAGCCAGGTCGCTGGTGATCGGCCACCCGTTGCCCTAAAAGATGGTGAAGGACTAGTTATCCACATCTCGCACTAAAGCGCCGGACGCTATGGCACAGGACTATGGGCCTCCACCCCGTTCCGAACCAACAACGCCGCTATCAAAGCAGTCACCTTGCCCTCCCTCATACGCCCTCCATCCCTGACACTGCTTTTTCTTGACATCTCCGCATCTAGAGCTGCCTGTCCATCACCTACCCATCCAAGAGGCCACCTCCTCTCACACAAGTTTCGCTTGCTCCGCCACTGTCCCTTCCGTCTCTGGTTCGCGTCGATCCTTGGCGGAAAGCCCCCCCTGCAGTCCCATGTCAGTCCCATGGATTGGGCATGATCGCCAGGGAACAATGAAGCCGGACGCCAGCCAATAGCATCCAGCGTTTGACACGTTTCTGCTCCCCCCACCGCTGCTTTGTCTTGCAGTTGAATTTCGGCCTTTCTTGCGACCATTTCTTGCGTTCGTGATGAAGAAACAATCTAGCATACAACGTGTCGCGTCGCGCCTCGTGATCCACAGCGTTCCGTCATTGGCCTGATACGTCACAACGGCCTATCAACAGTTTCGTGCACGCTTAGTGAGACGACTTGTAACCACCATCATCGATGCATCGGAATTGCATCGAACTTAAACACGGCCAGATGCCTCTCTTTACTGCTTCGGGGAATTCTACACAGTCTTTGCGACTGGCGAAATTCCGTGAAGCACATGAACAGAGTGGTATCTTCGGGCTATATGGATGCTCGCAACCAGATTCCAAGAGCGGAGCAACCCTCACGATGAGTCCGTGCGCTTACCCTCAGCTCACGTCCATCGATCGCGAACAACCGTCTATGTTTATTTTTTTGCTATCATCCCTGCGCAACCATTGCTCTGAGAAGACAGCGCGCCCACACGCCTTCAAGGGGAAAACCGGACAAAGGCCCTGAAGTCTACATTGCCTTGAGATCTTGATGCTGTAGATTGTTAAGGCAATGCAGACTTCTTAGCTTTATCTTTGGTAATTGTACTGCGAAGACAGATTTTCAGTTTTTCCCTTGATGGGGTGCACCCAATTCGATATCAGGATGATCTTCATCGTCATGTACCCCTCCCAAATCAACAGCCTGGTCATCACTCTGTACGTCTCCTCGATGCCTCAGGAATGCATGAGAACGCTCGATGGCCCCCTTTCTCTATGCCCCCGAGACTGTGCATTCACTCTGGGTGATTGTTCAAGACCGCCTTACCTGCCACGATGTGGAGAATTTACGTGGAAGGAGCGAAGTGATGCCGCCGCGGATCCGACGAACAACGCCTTTCGATGGGTTGTAAACCTTAGGCATATGACGAAGTTCAAGCCCGCCCGATAACCTTCTGCAAGTTTATCAGATTCGTGTTAGGCATGGGTAAATGCGGATCACATCGTATCCTGGAAAAGCCTAAACTTTAAGGCCATTTTCTGACGTGCAGAACGTCCAAATCCAATGAAGCGGCCTGCGTAAGAATCACATGTTCGAGCAATCATGTCGACGACTGGGAGCGCGTGGAGCCGTCATTTCACAAGCAAGTAGCACTTTTTAAGAGCGACGAGACTGGGTATTTGTATGGATAGCCGTAGTCACAAAGCACATTACACGTAAGGACGCATACGTGGGGTCGTTTGACGGAGTCTGATTTGGCTTGCTGTCGAGAGATCCCCCCACCTATGATACATCTGATCCCCAGCTATGCCCATTCTATGCTTTCGTGACCTGTCGATACAAAGGAGATGTCGATTCGCGAAGGACAGTCGCTTATTTCTGGCCGAGAGATGATGCGCGCTCGTCTTCGAGCTTCTGGTAGAAGGCGTCACGGTGACGGACGGCAGGGACGTGGTAGCCTTGGATAGTAAGTATGGGCGTAATAAAGATTCTGAGCATAGGAAGCGCAGTCGCATCGCCTGTGACTGATTCACGTACCGTACCACCAGCCGTAGCCGGCAGTGAGGCCAAGACCTGTGACTGCTGTTAGCCAATGTCCAAAGCTGACGCGCGCATTGCTACAGAGCTCTTTGAGCCCCGAAAATAGCAGCCATGCACTGCCCGATTCCTACGCACCCATAGCGACAGAGAGGTCGAGCACGACCTGTCGTCGGAGCATCTGCAGTCCAGTCATTAGCGTCCAGCGCACTACAGCCCACGGCACTCAATGGCAGCACCTACGCCGGTGATCGGTTTGACAGCCATTGCGGAATTGAGTTCGGGAGAGCGGAGAGTTTTGGGGCGCGGGTGCGGTTTGCGGGAGCTGGTGGATGTCGTCGGCGGCTCTCTGAAGGTGTGGTGGTTCGACGGGAGAACGCAGTGCTGCTGACGTAAGGCAGGCGTCCTAGCGTCCCGCGCCTTGGAAGCTCCCGACCCAACTGAAGAACAACGGCAGCAGGCAGGTGAAAGGAACAATACCATCGAATAAGAAACAATACGCGCCTGCACGTCCGCTCCCATCGCGAGGGCACCCTTTCGCAACCGATGCGCCCTCTCACTCCCGTCTGCGCCCTTACCCACCGATAGAGACGTCCCCGGAACCACCATCGCGTGCGCAACCTCCTCCCACGGCGTACCCTCCCACCGGATCCGCGACAACGAGCAGCATATGCCAGGCATCATACTATCCCCCAGCGCCAGCAGCGAGGGCGCAATCGCAGGCATGAAGCGGGCACATGAAGCGGACCATGCGCCGACGTACGGAGAGCCGCACCCCAAGAAGCGACAAGTCGTACGGGCGCTGCACCACACGCAGCCGATCCAGCACATTGCCGACCCCATCAGCGCGGAGCACGATGTCTTTGGCGAGAGCAAAGACTTTTTCGACCAGCAGCTGCGGCGCGCAATAGCCATCCAATGTAAAGGCATCGGTTTCGAGAGCGCGCGTCCGGACGCGTTGGAGGAGTTCCGGGCGCTGGTTGATTCCTGTATGGCTTCACCTTGCGACAGAGACTGGCCGCGAGTGCCCACTGCAGTTTTCCAGACTGACCCGTCACAGACATGACCAACTTTCTAACACAAGTACGCACGTCCATGATCAGCTCGCGACGCACCGAAACGGTCGCGCACGACTGGATCTATGCCCTCACTTCCGCCGGCCTGCGCGGCTCTGCGCCCCTCGAACAACATTTCGACACAGGCGAGATCCCGTCGTCTGTCTTACAGCCCTACTTTGCACCTCCCGCGCCTCCAGAAGCTCCGCCGCCCGACACCGAGTCATTGCTAGGTCCTGGACTCTCCGGCAAGGCGGACAAAGAAACGCGTCCATACATACCAAAACACTTCCCTGGATTCCCGTCGAAACACACATACACAGCGACGCCAGTCTTCACAAAACGCGAAAATGACCCGCGCAAAATCAGGGAGAAGGCGACAGAAGAGGGCATTCTTGCCGAGCAGAGTCTGCGAAAACTCATGGCGGCGCAAAAGGCAGGCGTGCAGAAGCAAAATGTTGGCAAGCGGAAGCGCAGTAGGCGCATGAAAGAGAGCGACCAACTGTGGCAAGCCGCCATGACAGACCTGCTAGATGAAGAGAACCAGCGAGAGAAGGAAGAAGAGCGGCGGCAAGCTCAAATGGACGAAGACGACGATGACTACAACACGCATCAAGACGCTCCAATACGGCAGCCCACCGCCGATCGTAACGTCAATCTGGAAGAAGGCGTGCACGTCAACTACGACCAAAAGTACTGGAGGAAATCCGCGACGGGCGTCTCATAGTTCGTCACAGCCGGTCAATGGCGGCGACACCTTCAGAAAAAGTCGTTTTACTAGCATTTTGATAGCGAGGCGTTTGGGTACCTGCATTTCGGCCGCGGGGCTTCGAGATACGTTTTAGGCATTAAGGCGGCGTTGATTGTCTATTTTTTTCGTTGCAAGTTGTACTATAGTCTACTCGCTCTCCTACACAGCGTAGCTGAAGGCTACACAAAGTTTGGTCAATGCGAACTCACTATTCATCCCATCGAGTTCATATTTAGATTGGATTTACTCCTTGAATCCTTAGCACGATCTCATAGTTAAAAATACATGTATAATAATCATGCCTCCTGTGTAAACCGCCACCTAAAGTACGATGTTGTGTGAGGCTGTGGGTGGTGACTTGATCTCATCGCTCAACCATCGCACCTTCCTGTTTCGCCTTCCACTCCTCCCACGCCGTAGTCTCCACAGTCAAACCTCCTGAACACCTATACTCTCATTAGCCATGCGCTCAGCTTGATAACACCAACTCCCAGTTCCTGGTCACAATGCCAAGACCTCGTGCCTTCCACCTCACTCCACCAACACTCACTTTCTTAACAAGTGAACCAGCGGCTCGCATATGATTTGCGGCGCAGCGCCCTTCTTCTTCGGCGCCTCTACGTTGCATTTATACTGCACGAGTTCCTTCAGTGCGCAGTCGCTCAGATTGACCGGTGGATTCCGTCGTTTTCCCGACGGTAGAGTGTAGATCGAAGCTTCCAAGTCGGTCACCGGGATTGTGGAGATTGGTGGCGCCATTGCGCGGGGGAAGTGATATTAAAAGAGCAGGGTCGTGCTTAGAAAGGACTGGAAAGGGTCAAGGGTTGATCTGCATGGGAGATGGAAATGAATGGTGATGGGGCGAAGAGGTTGGGGGAGAAGTTGTTGATCGAAGTTGAGGTCGAGGACCTGAGCTCGGTATGTCATATCGACACACGCTCGATGCACGAGTTGAGTAATGTTAACGAAAATACAGCTGTTCAAGTCTCTACGTGATTTTATGTCGCAGGAACATGGAATGTACGTTTACTCCTCATAACTAACACATTCTTTTCTCTCAACTTTTACTTTCGTGCTACACAAACTGATACTGATTCCAACAGAGCCAACAACACAAACACGGCCCAACCCTCTCATTTCAACATACCAGAAATCGACCGCCTAATGCTAAACCCATCTTCACCAATCCTCGAAATCATCTCTCCACCGCCAACCCATCACGCCTCAGGAGCAGGGAAAACCTCACTCATCTACCTCATCATCGCCCACGCCATCCTCCCTCCCAGCTTCTCTTCCACCCCTCTCTATGGCCAAGAAGGCGCCGTCATACTCTTCGACCCACTGCACCACTTCAGCATCCCCCGACTAGTAGAAGTCATGTTCACCCTTCTCAAAACCAGCCTCGTCACCGCAGAAAAGGAAATCAACGACGTCCTCAAAGCCGACATGGGATCTACAATCAAAACAGCACTACCACACCTCCATATTTTCCGCCCACCGTCTTGGTCCTCTTTCCTAGCGACACTCGATTCGCTACCAGAATACCTTCTCAATGATAATCCCCAACACAAGAGTATGCACCGTCGTATCCACTCCATCATTCTCGAAGACATCGATGCGTTCGTCTGGTCGATACGGAATACCGGTACTGTCGTATCTAGCTCCTCGAATACACTTGGAACGGCATCCACACAGCTTACCACCCGCGTTGCGAAACTGGGCAAGCTACTCTCCTGCGCTACAATACTGACATCGCAGTCTACCACGCTGTCATCGTACCGGCCGTCGTTGCCTACATCGTGGCCACAGGGCTCCCCTGTTACAAGATTGGCAGTTCGGCGGGTGGATGTAGTTAAGTTTGCTCCGGGGATTAGCGTGGAAGATGCTGAGAAGGAGAGAGTGCAGCGATGGGAGGTGGTTAGTCGAGGCCGATTTGAGTGCTGGAGGGTTGGTGTGGGCGCGAGGGACGGCGAAGGATTTGCTTTCAGGGTAGGGAAGGGGATTGAGATGGAAAGGGATGGTGCAAGGTGATGCGTGGTATTTCATGAAGGAATCTGGCGTTTGCAACGGCTTGGGATGATACCCTTCAGAACACGGTTCAACGACGGGTTGGATCGGTATGTGTTTCAAATCGGTAGTATGATATACCAGACTACAAATATTCCTTTGCGCTTTACACATATCGTATACCATATCCACATTGTTTCCGTATCCCAAGCCACCCAGGCTCCGCGCCATCTAAGCCAAGATCATACAAGAGCCACCCAAATAGCCTCCAGAAACACCATCCATCTAAGCGTCCCTCCCCCAAAGCACCTTCCTCCTCCCCCGATCTTCCCTAGCCTCCCGTCTCCTTGTACCCCACTTCCTCCTCGCAGCCTCGTGTTCCTTCTCCACCCTCTCCGCCTTCGCCTCGTTCTTAGCCACCATGCCCACAAAGAATTGACTACAGCCAAACTTCTCCGCTAGCTTAACTCTAGTCCACGTATCCGGGTCCGCACTCCTCAGTCTCCTAATCTCGGCAATGTCCGCCTCGTTGAGATGATACGTCTTCTCGTACGGCTTCCGGAGCGGCGCAGGCAGGGATGCTGAAGGGCGCGGAGGCAAGAAACCTTCTGTGCTGAGCGGTGTTCCCGGTGCGGCAATGGGCGAGGATTGCCGCGTGTGCGCCAGTTTGGTTGCGTATTGTTGGGCGGCAGCGTATAACTGTCTCCGCTTATCTTCCTTGGGCAGGAACTTGAGCGGGGTGTGGTAGACGTTTGGCGCCGAGGACGGCGGATTGAAGACCAGTGTGGGCGCAGAGCGGTCGGGTGTGTAGGATGGGGCTTCGGGGAGTGCGAGCAGTTTTCTGTGTCGCCGGGTTGTGGATTCGAAGCGGCATTGGGTGAGGGGCAGGAGCGACGGCGCCGTCCGTTGCGAGGGACAGGCTCGGAGGAGGGATTTACATGTTGACATTGTGGAATTGGGTGTGTGGGTTGGCGTGCCTGCTGTGGTGCACGCGTTGGCACGGTGCTGGCCGTTCCTGGTGGAGCGATGCCGAACTTTTTTAGTTGTTCCGCGCCGGGGTGGTCAAAGCTGGGCGGGATCCCATCTTCCACCCCCAGACTACCGCCGGCACATAATCAGGGTACAGTGCGCAAGACTATATTTCAACGTTGTGCGAATTGTCATAATCCTAAGATATCGATGAAAATGCACGACATGAGCCCGTCACGTCATCGAGCTGGGGTCGACTGAGAAGCACACTGCTGAATGGGTATTTATTTCTTGTTGGTAGCAAACCACCTAAGTATTTACGGGAACCAGACCGACGATGTTACTCATAGTGCGGCATTCTACTCGCGCTTCATCTCTCCTGCGACGTAGTGCAAGTAGGCTCCTAGCAGCTTGGTGCCCTCAATGTAGTTCCTCTTGTCCAGCTTCTCGTTGATCGAGTGAGCAGCGTCAGTTGAGCTGCCCATTGGTAGCAACAGGACGTTCTTGCCAAGTTCTTCCTGGAAGGTCAATGTAACGGGAATGCTACCACCCTCCCGAGTCATGTCTGGCTTTACACCAAAGACACGCTCGACAGCCTTGGCAGCAGCAGTGTAGTTGGGGTGGTTGGGGTCCTCGACCCACCACTTTCCGCAGTGTACCACGCTGAACTTCATCGTGTTCTTCGACTTCAGCTTAGCGAACTCGTCGTTGACGTGCTTCTCAACCAGCTTGGTGACTGGGTCAATCTCCATGTTGGGTACTGTGCGGATGGAGAACTTTCCAATAACCTTTGCTGGGATAACGGTCTTTGCTCCCTCAGAGTAGAAAGCACCCTCAATACCGTGGAGGGACAATGAAGGGTATCGCATCTTGTGCTTCAGCGCTTCCTCCTTGCTGTCGTGGATCGTTACTGCACCACCTAGTGATTCCCTCAGACCGTCCATGGTGAAGGCGATGGGTGGGTAAAGCGCGGCTTCCTCGTCAGTAAGAGGAGCGACGAGATCGTCGACACCCTTGATGAGGATCTTGCCGTCGGGGTCGACGAATGAGTTCATGATGCGAACCAAATCGGTCATGGGCTCGTGTGTCATTCCACCGTAGACACCGGAGTGTAGATCTTGACCAGGGCCAGAAACCTCAACTTGGTAGTAGTTGCATCCGCGGACACCGTATGTCAAGCATGGCTTCTCAGTTCCTAGCCAGTAGTTGTCCGAGATACAGACAACGTCGACGTCCTTGAAGAACTTCTTGGCCTCGGCACGGATAGTGTCGTCCAGACCTTCTGATCCGTTCTCTTCCATGCCCTCGAAGCACATGACCAGGTTCACTGGTAGCTCTACGCCGGCCTTCTGGTGGGCCTCGATGGCGTTTAACCAGCCAAGAACCGGACCCTTGTCATCTGTGCTACCGCGTCCGTACATACGGTCCTTGTCATCGATGCTCAGGGTGAAGGGGTCGGTCGCCCAGCCGTCGGACTTGTTCGCGGGCTGCACATCGTAGTGACCGTAAACGAGGACGTTGAGCTTCTTTGGGTCGTTTCCGTAGCGTCCGAGAAGGCACGGTGGGAGATCAAGGTGCTCGCGACCAGGCTGCTTTCCGAGCTCGCGGAGCTCAACATCACCACCGAGTGCCTTGATCTGGTCGGCCAACCAGTGGCCCATCTGCATTTGAAGTCAGTCATACATTCAGACATGCATCTAATATCTTAACCCAAAACAAAGACTTGACTGCATATCTCTTGGGGTTTCATGTCGTACCTTGACTACATCGGGTCTCCTCTGGTCTTCTGAGCTGATACTGGGAATAGCGACCGCCTCCCTCAGTCTCTCGATAAAGTTGCCCTGCAAGGCATCTACCTGCTTGAAGTACGGGTCGAGGTGTGCCATCTTGTTGAACGGGTGGTACAGATATGGCCAGGCGGCGTTGGGTATTCTTTCGGGCGTGTATTGGTCGCAGCGGATAGGCGTAGCGACGAGTCTCAGTGAGGGCGAGAAGTGGAAGCTTCGTGGATGACAGAAGAGGCTTCTATGAGTGGCTGTGGCGCTTATTCGCGGTCTACAGGCTGAGATGGATCGGGCAGGTGCTCGTCCAAGGGCAAATTGGGTGGGGAGGGGCAAGCGGGGCATGATTGAGAGGGCACAGGGCAAACGCGCGAACGCCAACCACACCGTCGGTCAAGTCAAGCCTGTCAAGCTTCCGACGAGTGGATCAGCGGGCCCGAGCTTGCCTAGGGAAGCATGCACGAAATGTTCCCTGCATATTCTCGCGCATGCCTCGGTCTTCAGTCATCGTTGGCATTCCAACTCGTTCAAGGAAGAGTCTCAACGGGCCTGCAGCCTACATGAAGACGAAAACAAGCAAACTAGAAGACCTAGCGTCAATATAGGATCCAAGGTGGTCAGATTTCCATTGAGTGAAGCGAGTCCATCACCCTGTACATCTTACAATTTGAAGCAAACCCTGCAAGCAAGTATGGATAATGAGCTACAACAGATCGCTATGCAGTGACGATGCAAATGCTAGAAGGCTCGCGAACGAAAGACACGAAACATACAGGTATCAAGACGAAAGGGTAAAACTGAGATCGCAACATGTATCCTCCATCGTTAGCAGCAAGAGATCGTCCATGGTCAATAACCGACAAATTGGTACCGCAAACATTGATATCCATCATTCGTTCATCATCTTGTTCTAGGTCCGACTCTGTGTCGGACTGAGATCATCCCCAGCGGCTTGGGCGTCAGCTGAAGTACCCTCCTCGAAGACGGGGACAGTGAAAGTCATGCCTCCAGCCTGGACTGATTGCGAAGACTGACTGGTAGTCTGTTCCGTGGATGTTACCTGCGATGTCGAGCTTGAGAAGTTCTGCCCAAAGGTGCTGGAAGATCCAGAGGAAAAGTCCTGCTGGGAGTAGTGCTGGGGCGCAGAGCTCTCGTCCCCATGTGCGAAGGAACGATCACTGGAACTCGGTCGCACGTCTGGTGCAGGGTCGCTGCTAGCAAAGTCTTTCTCGACAACGCTTGGGAAAGATCCGGGAATGCCCTGATCGTTCGCTCCATCAAGTCCAAACGAAGTGCCAGTCTTCTCCTCCCCGGCAATTGAGTGCTCGGGAAGTGCACGCATTGGTGGGTTTGGGTGCTCGTCTTTCTTCAGGTGCTCGAATTCGATCAGGGATGACCGCCGTAACTGGTCAAGCTTCTCCTCAGGATTCTTAAAAGTTCAAAGTCAGCTCAGGATTGAAAGAGGAAAAGGTGTATCGTAAACATACCCATTCGGTCTGATCCGGCACTCCTGTAGCAGAAGGTAGCTCGCCTGTCTGGTTCCTCTCTTCGCCCCAGAACATTGGACGACGAACCGGCGCAGGTGTTACAGGAAGACTCGGTCGCTCCACTGCGGACGGGAAGTCGGTGAGGACTAAGCTCTCACGGCGTTGCTTGCGATCCAATATAGGCGAACTAATGTCGTCCGTGCCTGTGGTCTGTTGTAGCGACTGGTTCTTACCCCGTATTCCACTCAGATCCGATATGGCACGAACATAGCTGTCGATGCCTGGAACATTATCCCAGGCGTTGCCGCTATTGTTTTGATAAGACTGCCAGCCTTGGTCAGTAGAGCTCGAGGCTATAGTATTACCAATATTTCTAACCTTTTCGGCTGCGACTGGAGCGACCTTATCGCTCTCGTCGAAGTGTGTGGTTGAGAAAGCATGTGTTGGCGACATCACCTGAGGGGTTGGCTGTGGTGACAAGTCCTCGGCAAACACACGCGTCGGCTTAGGTCTATCCACCTCTTGCTCCCATGGGAAGATGGCCTTGGGCGCTTCCCTCGTTTCTGGAACCTGGTACCACATGTCTCGCGGCGCATCGGGATAGGCTCGTGGTGCCTTGAAGAGCGATCGGCTATCACTGAAGGCATACGTTTGCGTAGGGAAGTTGGCAGCTTCGGGTCTCGATGACGCTGGTGGCTCAAACCTGGACTTGTCAGCTGTTACCCAGTGATCTCGATGTGAAAAGAGCGTACTTGGTGGCGTCCCATTGCATCTCGGGCGCAGAGAACTTGCGTTGTTCGACCGTGGGGGTTGGTTCTATCACACCTTGGTCAATATTCTGAATCTCATCTTCAAATTCGGTCATGGGAGGCTCGGTCGTAACGGCGGAGGCTTCGAGAGGGGCAGGAGTAGAGGAAGAAAGCATGGAGTCACCAAGAGTGCTCTTTCCCTCACCAGCTCGTTGGCCCTTCGCCTTGTGCAGATGCCTTTGATGCACCGCCCACCATCGCGCTACCAGTTCTCCATAGACACCCTTCCCTCCCGCATGTTGGGCCATCCAGGGCTTGTTCTTGCCGATAAAGTGGACCGCGGCAATGTCGCGCTTGTAGTGGCGGTATGCGGGCTCCCATTGGTATTCGGCATTTGGCGTACAGTTGTAGGTAAACTTCAATCGCTGCCACGGACGGTGTTCGAAGTACTGGTTCAGTAAGCCTTGGTCTGCGCCATCGAAGCTGTCGCCAGTCGCTGCCATAGTCTGCAGTGCCCAGTACTCGCCCATGTCTGGCGTGATGACCATGACACCGCTGTTGAAAGCATCTGGCCAGCCAATATCTGGAGCAGCAGCAAACGACGCCTCGATGTCGAACAGCTCGTCCAACGCCCTCAGCGCTACCACGTCTGCGTCGAGGTACACGAGCTTGCGGAACTGAGTCTGTCTCCACAGGGCAATCTTCGTGAACGCAAAGGCCAGATCAGGTCGCCCCATGACATAGAGGTTCGCAGGATTGGCATTCCGTATGCGCTCGACGGGAATCAGGTAGTCGTAGAGCGTCTTGAGCTCCGAAATGGTATCAGCTGAAAGGGTCTCCATCGTGACGAGCACGGCAAGCTTCTTGGTGGTGCCGGCATCGCGCAGAGAGTTTGCAAGAACGACTGCGCCTGGTAGGTAGGAATCGCTCATAAGAAGCTGCACGATTGATTAGCTCGCGTGCGTGTTACTACCTGCATGTTGCTCACCGTGATGTACGCATCTTCCAGTGGTTGTGCCATCTTGTTCGACAGTGAAGAATAGAGAAAGGTGGAGGGCAAGTGGGCGGCGGGTGAGGCCTGGGGAGATGGGTCTAGAGTAGAGTAGAGCGCGGAGCTTCGATACGGGTTGTGGTAGTTTCCCCGCAGCCAGCGAATGTGTCGAGGCAGGCGCTGATCTGCAGTGCAAGTGGTACCGACGCGAGCAGCGGTAAACTGCAGCACGGCAATTCTAAGTACTTCACGCGGGAACAGCAAGCACGCGCTTTCACGCCAACTCGACCCTCTGCGCTGTCAGAGTCCCTTCTTTACTCATTCGGGCAAAGCGCTGCAGTATCTGTTGAGAGATTGTTTGCACACAACAAACCATGGGTCCACGAGCTTATGGGAGCTTGGGCCAAACCTCGAAGCTCCCCGAGGCCATGACGCATGAACCCGCCCGCTAGTGAGCCGTTCTTTCATCATCGCACGCGCACCCGCCGCCCTGCTTTCCCTCTGCTTGCTTTTGACTATAGCTGCTTTTATCTCTGCATGCAGTGTGCAGCTGCACCCTCTCAATCTCAACGACGTCTTTCGGTGCTACTTGCTACCCGACAATTGCTATTCGCCCATGTGCGCCACCAATTGTCCCCGCAGCCAGCGCACCTCATTTCGGCTAGCAAAGCCGTGATACTGCCCAACAAGACAACTCATGTGCCTTGAGAGGACCCTGGACGGTGTCTGGCCAGTGCCCTGTGTTTGGGTTTCTCGGAGCAACTTGGCTGATTTTAAGGCTTCACGCTGCGAAAGGCGCGTTTGAGGTTGGGCATGCGCAGAGGGATGGGCAAATTTCCTGACCGCCATCTTTACGCAGGAAAAAGCTACCCAATTGCCGTCCACCTTGGGCAGGCCTTGACAAAGATTAACATGAGATGAGACCGCAGGCGCATCCGCTGTGTGCTGTGTCAAGGGCAACAACCATCAGGGCTTCGAGTAGCTGTCAAACAACGTCGAACTTGCAGCTGCAAAACCCTCAGCATGTTCACATAAGCTCAGGGTTCAATCGTCGTCCCAGGTCCCACCGTCGGAGAGAGCAGTGAGACCGATTGGTGTCTGGGATCTGGGATGGACTAAGGAAGATTAGCGAGTGCCCTAGCTCCGATCGATGACAGCATTCATACCAGCCATGCGGTTTTCCCCCAGTAGTTGCAGAGTACCTAGGTATTATCTTTGCTGTAGTTCGGTGGGTCCATCACATGGAATCGACTGAGCAGATCCCCGTTTTCTCATCTCGAAGCTTCACCCTACCAACTTCAACTACCACACGTGCGTGAGAGATGTCGAAACCACGAGTGATCTACTGGTTCCGGACCGATTTAAGACTCCACGATTCTCCAGCTCTCAAAGCCGCATTGGATCTCAAGCCAGAATGTCTCTACCCTATATGGACTTGGGATCCGCATTACGTTTACCGCGCTCGAGTAGGCCCCAATCGCTGGCAGTATCTCCTGGATTGTCAAAACGACCTCTCCAAGTCGATTACCAAGCTCAACCCAAAGTCAAAACTCTTCCTCATTCGTGAAGCACCGCAAACATTGTTACCCAAGCTATTCAAGGCATGGAAGATCACACATCTAGTGTTCGAGAAAGATACCGATGCATATGCAAGAGAACGGGATGAGAAGGTGACGGAACTTGCAAAGAAAGCCGGGGTCGAAGTCATCATGAAGACCGGAAGAACCTTGTACGATCCTGATGAGCTGGTCAAACATAACCATGGAAAACCCACCATGACCATCAACCAGGTGCAGGCCGCAGGAAAGAAGATCGGATCGATTCCAAGACCTATCCCCGCTCCCAACTCCCTGCCTGACCCAGGGGAAACGGATCTGAAGTTTGATCAAGAGAAGCCAGAAAACGCACCGGACATCAATGCGATTCAAAGAGACGGCGACGAAGCTTCGTACTCTGCTCTCGCAGGACCAAAAGGCGATTTCGCAGTACCAACAATGGAAGAGCTAGGCCTGAAGCCAGCAACAACCTCGCACCGGGGCGGCGAAACGGTAGCATTGCAAGCCCTCGACAAAATCATAGCAGACACAGACTACACAGCAACATTCGAGAAGCCAAAAACCGCCCCGACCGATTTCGAGCCCCAGTCCACAACACTCCTCTCCCCACACATGCACTTCGGCTCCTTGAGCTGCCGCCTCTTCTACTGGCGCGCCCAAGACGTTGTCGACAAGTACAAAGGAAAAGCCTCGCAACCACCCACCAGTCTAACAGGCCAACTCCTCTTCCGCGACATGTACTTTGGCGCACAGGCAGGGCTGGGCTACTCCTTCGGCCAAACATACAACAACCCACACTGTCGCTTCATACCCTGGCACCTACCCTCCAAGATCGACACCAAGACCAATCTCATCACCGGCGAGTATCTAGTTGACAACGCAGAAGCGGAAGTGCATTTCCAGCGCTGGAAACACGGTCGAACGGGATTCCCCTGGATCGACGCGCTCATGCGTCAACTTGCCCAGGAAGGCTGGATCCACCACCTCGGTCGCCACGCCGTCGCCTGCTTCCTTACGAGGGGTGGTTGTTACATAGACTGGGAGCGTGGCGCCGAGGTCTTTGAAGAATGGCTCATTGATCATGAAGCTGCGTGTAACATCGGGAACTGGCAGTGGTTGTCTTGCACAGCGTTCTTCGCGCAGTTCTACCGGTGCTACTCGCCCATTGCCTTTCCCCAGAAGTGGGATAAAGAGGGCGACTTCGTGCGAAAGTACGTGCCCGAACTAGCGCAGTTCGACAAGAAGTATATCTACGAACCGTGGAAAGCGCCGATTGCGGATCAGAAGAAGTGGGGGTGTTTGGTCAAGGGGGATGGGTCGGAGGAGGTGGGCGAAGGTAAGATGAAAGTCTATCCGAAGCCGATGTTTGATTTTGCGAAGAGGAGGGAGATTTGTATTCAAGGTATGAAGAACGCATATCATGTTAACTTGTATGGAAACTCGCCAAAGGTGCTTGATGGTACGTGGCGGAAGCTCTTCGAGGATAACGCAGAGGGACCGACGGAAGGTAGTAAAGGGCCGCCAGGCGCGATGGTCAAAGAAGAGCATCATGAAGACGCTGATGGGCATGAAGAGGATACGTATGTAGACGAGCCGCCGAGCCCAAAGCAGGCGAAGAAGATGGCAGTGCGGAGTGAGAAGAAAGTAGGACATAAGAGAGAAGCGAGTCAGGGCACGCTGGACGGCATGGTGACGAGGAAGAAGAAGAAGGATGGGGAAGTCTTCCCTAATGAGACGCACTTTGGGTAGTCTGTTGAGGAATGAATCCATTCGTCGCGGCTAGCGCGATGGGATTAGCAAGTAGCAATGTGTCTAATCTCCTGTCCTCAAATAAACAAATGGGTATCACAAACGCGCATCATCACCGTAATAACCTACGCACTCGCTATGCGACCCGCACCAACAACCGTCCAGAACGCCTCCTCCCGTTTCTCTCTCTCCCCTTTGCTTCCCCTAGAATCGCCCAACCCCCTCTCTTCTGCGTTGACATCTGCCTCGAACTCGATACGCACGAATATTGGTATCTCAAGCAGATCTTCATCTTCGTCCAGCTCATCCTCGCCCCCAAGCTCGCTAAGGAAGCCTGGTATGACTTCGATAGCTACACTAGTCCAATTCCGTCCTTTATCCCAAATCTTTCCCGCTTCAATCTGTCCTGTCTCGGCGTTGATGGTCGAGCGGCGAGGCATAGGCGCCGGACCCGAAGCGAGCGCGTCGTCCCAGACATCGGTATTAGCTCCAACTTCGAATTGTGGGCATAGTATCGTTACGCGAGACTGTACTTTGCCAGGTGTGGTGCTTGACGTGGCGAGCGTGACTTGAATCGGATCGAAGAGCGGGTTGCTGACGTGGAGGAGGAAGTGCGTTGCGATGCCCGGACGGAGGGTATTGTAGTTGAAAGGAGGCTGTGGGGCGGGCATGGAGCCTGGGACTGGTGGCACAGCTGGGTTGGGGGGTAGTGCGCGAATGCTGAGCCTAGGGATGTGATTCAGTGCCAACAGCTTGATCTTGTATCGTGTTGATGTGATCTTGGACTCTGGCTTGGACAGGATGTGTCGACAGGACCGGCATCTTTTTGATCGCTTTGTGCAGAGGAGAGTTGGTATCGGCCGGAGCTCGTTATCGAACTGCATATGAGGATCCAGCTGTGCGAGCTTCTGGGCAGGCGACAAGGTACTGCCCCAACCGTCTCGTTTGATGCGCTCGATCGCTGCGTTGTCTGCGGCGGGGTCGTGAATGACCAGGCCTTCTAACTCCGACGCAGCCTCTCGCATCGGCGTCGGCTTGTTGCGCTTCTGCTTCTTCGCTGTATTCGTTGAATAGAGATTCATGATGCGGGAATAGGCCGAGGGCGAGGAGAAGTTCATCTCGAGAGGATTCGCTGGTGTCTGTGAGTCGAGCTGCGCCTTGTAAAAAGCACCCAGGTTCGAGAATAGATCGTCGCGTGTCGGTGGCTCATACTGCTCGACATCCATAGCTGTAGAGTCGCTGGAAGGAGATAATGGGTTCCTTGAGTCTCTCTGCCGAGCCTCGAGTTCCTTGCGCCTCTCGCGCTCCTTGTCGCGCTCTTTCGCGGTCGGTATCGGCTTGCCTCCATTCGCTATCCGTGCAATCTGCGAATACACGCCTGTATGCTTCTCGAACTCTATGCCCGTCTCGATCGTACTCCAATGACAGTACGGACACGCGAGTATGTGTCGGTCTGGCACTCCTTGATCCGCGTCAGGGTTGTCGAGAAGGTTGACTATGAGCGGCGAGATGCACACGGGGCAATTGAAGCAATTGCGCGTGCACCGATTCCCATCGCTCTTAACCACGGAGCTCGGTACTTCGAACAAGCAGTTCGGGCAGTACCAATTCAGCGTCTCCTCTATCACGCATCGTGGACACCGTATTTGCAGGCAGTCTTCGCAGTAGAGGAGATGTTCGAGCGGGTAAAGCGCGTAGTTGGAGCGTGGGTTCCTCGGATCCAAGGTCTCTTCTTCGTCGTCAAAGGCAGCGAGGACGTGCGTCGTGCGTTTCGTAGAGGTCGTGGTGTTGTTGTCGAAGCAGTCGCAGGCGTAGTACGTGTACGGAAAAGCTTGCGCCATGGCGAAGTCGTGGGTTCAAGAATAACGTTCGAAGCTGAGTGGGTGCTTCTTCCCCAGCCAGTGGTCCGGGTTGGCAAAGAAGTGGTGCTGGTGATGGACTTCTGGAGGGCGCAGGTAGATCTCGGTGGAGCCAAACGCCGATTGGCGCAGGAGCTCCAGGGTCTTGACGTATTGCTTTCTCATCCTCTCTCGCGCGCGCCTTCCGTTTTCACGTCGTTCATATCGCCCTTGTAGAGCCAATTCGTCTTCTACTGGCACTATGGCATCCTTTTCGATCCGCGCTTTCATCCCACCACTGAAACGACGATGTTTGCCCCTCCAAACCACCCGGCGGTATGCGGTACAAGCGCCGGGCGCTCCAATGATGGAGATATTCAGTGGCCAACAGAAGTGGTTACAGAAGGAAAGAGCCGCAGCAGACAAAGAGAACAGCAGAGGTGTAGACTACCTCAGAGATGAGGTGGCATCCAGGCTGTGTGAGCGAGTATTAGTATGATTGATGCTCCCCACTCTAGACATGGACTGCGGCTAACGACCACAGGATATAAATCGGCATTTTCCCAAAGTCCTCGATCTCGGTGCAAACGCATGCAATTTATCCCGCGCACTTACTCTACCCTCCGAAGACGCCCCAGACAAAGGCCCTCGATCCAAGCGAATCGGCACCATCACAGCCGCAGACTCGTCGGAAGCGCTCTTATACCGCGACGCCGATCTGCCCTTTAACAAGGAGATCGATATCGTACGCGAGGTCCTGTCGACATCGGAGCTATTACCATACGAAGCGAACTCTTTCGACGCCGTCTTGAGCAGCCTGAGCCTACATTGGATCAATGACTTGCCCTCGGTGTTGGCGCAAGTGAACAACATCCTAAAGCCAGATGCTCCTTTCATAGGCGTCATGATGGGAGGAGACAGCCTCTACGAGCTTCGTACGTCTCTGCAACTAGCAGAGTTGGACCGAAGAGGTGGTGTCTCAACACATACCTCGCCACTAGCGGACGTGAAGGATGTGGGTGGACTGCTACAAAAAGCCGGCTTCAATCTCCTCACCGTGGACGTGGATGATATCGTAGTCGACTATCCCGATACCTTCTCGTTGATGAAGGACCTGCAGGCTATGGGCGAGTCCAACGCTGTGCTTGCACGAGAGAAGGGGCCAATCCAGAGGGACGTACTACTGGCCGCTGAAGCTATATACAAGGAACTTCATGGCAACGAAGATGGCACGCTTCCTGCGACTTTCAGGTTGATTTACATGATTGGTTGGAAACCTAGTCCCACTCAAGCTAAACCGCTTGAGCGGGGGACGGGTATGTTCAGCATCAAGGACCATCTAGAGAAGAATGGTAAGCCTGGTGGGGACAAGGAATAGAAATCAAACAACAATCAGCTTTAACAAAACTCGTCGCCTCAGATAAGTAGTCGAATGTATGTCCGGCGCCATCGATTCGTCAGAAACTGAGCATCTTCACGAGAAATGAGCAATCTCAATTCGGACACCACGTCCTGTAGTTCTGCTACAAAGCTTTGTATATATCTAATAATCTATAGATAGCTCGGTCTTCAAAGGACCTCATTGACCTCCATCAAAGGATGATATGTTGCATGACTATGTCGCTCCGGCTATTCAGCTTGTGATCAGACTTCCTGAACGCATCCTCTCAAGTCTGCTTCTCCTTACGTTCAGCTATCTAGATGATGAGAAAAGTCCGCGCCTTCCCGCCCTAACGAACCTCGTGATCAGGTGTCTTTGAGCCCTCTCCTTCTTCCGACGAGTCGATAGCGTTTGCCTGGTTGACGCCAAGGTTATCGACGGCAGCTGCGCGAGCGGGACCGAGAGCAGGACGCAATCCATTGACCAGCTTTCCACCGCTTGTGGGAGCTTTGGTGGGAGGCAAGGCTGGGAAAGAGGAGAGGCTAGCGTGTTCCTCGCCTGATACGTCCTCCGTGCACTCGCGCGCCATATGGCCTTCCTCGCCGCACTTGTAGCAAATGAATGGCTGCTGAGACTTTGCCTTGCTCCGCTCAGATTGCGGCTTCTCCTCCGGGCAGTTGCGCGCGATATGACCGTTCTCGCCACATTCGAAGCAGACTGGAAGTGGACGCTTGTCTGTTGCCTTGTTGAGAAGACCGGTGATGACCGCGGGTTTGGCGGCGGACTGCTCTGCTGGGCAGTTGCGGGAAAGGTGGCCGGTTCCTTTGCAAGTGTAGCAGACTGGACCTAGACGCTGCTCTGGCTTCTTGTATGTGACTCCGTTTGTGGTGGCAGACTTAGCAGCAATCTCTGTTGTGCAGTTGCGTGCAATATGGCCTTCTCCACCGCACTTGTGGCAGGTGAACGGTGTGTAGGTTTTGCTGACATACTTCCTATCGTGCTTGGCTGCAAGAGCTGGAATGTTTCCTGCTACGCCGTTCGCATCAGCCTTGACGTTGTTGAACAGACCTGGGGCAGCCTTGCCCTTCTGCTGAGACTTCCAGGACAACATATTCGAAGACCTGTCGGCGAACTTGGTGTAGGGACGACGACCGGCGCGGATGTCCTCGATATAGTTCATGGCCCAGATCACACGCCGATCCTTCGTATTGCGATAGTACTCTTCGCTGACCTTGACACGTGAGGCAATGTATTTCTGCAAAGCATCGTCTAGCGTCTTACTGAAGGCCTCATTCGTGTTGGCAAGCTCTTGATACGGCTGGTAGTCGCAAGTCCACGGCCTCGCCATCTCATCGACAATGCAGCGAATCGCGCAGTCGTAGAGCGCTGGGATCGAATCCTGGTAGAGCTTAATCTCGTCTATAGTCGGAAGCGTATGGTAAAACTTGCTCTTCAGGCGATTGAAGATACGCTTCCTCAGCGAGTCGTACTTGAGAAGGTCGCAGTGTTTGTACACGTCGATCAAGGCATCCGAGTTCAGTGCCTCGAACGTAGGCATGTCCGAGGGATCACGCTCGCCAGCTTGCATATACTTGTAGATCCAACGGATGGCGTTCTTCGAGCCGTCAGGAATGGTTAAGACCGTGCCTCGTTCCTCGACCAGCTTCTTCCGAGCCACTGGAGAGAAGTGTGCTAGCAGGTTCACGGAAGCACTCTCAAGACCAATGTACCGGTCATTGTCGGGACCAATGACGACATTTGCCTTTGGGCCCTTCCTGAAGCTACAATAGTTAGCATACTTCGAACATGGAAACAGGGAGGTCTTCTGGATAAACTTACTCGGCGAGCTGCTTTGGCGTAAGCTGGTTCGTCTTAGGCGGAGGCATGCGCCCGGGATTGGTCATCGTTGTCATGTTGACAGATCCTTCTTAATCCAAGCTTGTCCTGACTGCTGTAAGTAAAAGGCTTAACAATTTGATAGCAGTGTGGTGGAGAGATAGGTCGACGGGCCAAGCCTGTGAAGCCCTTGCAGGATCATGTATGAGGAAATGAGGGGTTGACTTACTTCGAACGCGGTTGAGTTAGCGACAGATAGGCTAGGTGGGGGAGAAGAAAGTATAGGAGCATGGCTATGGCTTATATAGTGAGGAGTGTTTCTGTGGGCCTGTGCTGGGAGAACAGTGAACGAACCATCACGTGAGAACTAGTGAAGTTGCAACCACCTTTACTCCGGTGAAGGGACCACTCGTTCTTCCTGCATGGATATGACTCCTTAGGCCAACACAAGTTGCTTCGTAGCGGCGTCACTCTTAGAACGCACAGCTGACCAGAATACAGCATCGCTGACCGTGGAACTGTATTGTTGACTGGCATATTGTCAACTCGTAAGATCGCTGATGTCACAAACACCAAAGAGTGACACTGCTTCAATCCGAATAATGAAGAAACTTCACTTCTCAATACTGTACCTATCCGAACCCATATAAAATTGCGTATTCTTGGGATGTCGCGAAAAGAACACAATGAAGCAATCCATAGTATACGTGAATCCGACTTGATGAGTTGGGATGGAGCAGTCGCGCTAGTCGGCCAGTCGTGTACTTCACCACGGGAGGCAACCGCGCCTGCTTCCTGTACTGTTGGACTACCCACGCAAGCACCAAGACCGACCACGTCACCACCACCGCCATAATGCATTGTCGCAGTATCGACGTCGGACTGCATTCTCAATTCGATATCGAAAAACTGCCTGAGTATCGCCCAGATCCGCGTGGTAGCACCAGCTTCACGCCGCAATTGGATGAGAAGACGTCGACTTGCAGCGTCTACGTCCCAGCTTTACCAGGCAGCACCTTCTGGATCGAATATGCTGTGTCGCCGCCAGTCCCCGAAGGGCACTATTTCCTGTTCAAGCTGTACATCAACGGCGCGCACGTCGTGAGCTGGTCGACGGGCAAGGATGAGGAATGGCAGGGCAAGACTATGTTCGGTCTATTCGAGAGCCCCGGGGATGACAGCGATAAGAAAAAGTTCGAGAAGCGGGTGCTTTGCTTTACAACAAAAGACGACGTAGATGCATTCGACGAGACCGCGCGCGTCGAGATAAGAGTACATCGTGCACATGGACGGAAACGAGTCGAACGACAGGCAGAAGAGTACAAGGAAACGGAGCACGCAAAGACTGAGACTGGGATAGGGTAGGTGCCCGACAGGACACGCACGTACTATGCTAATCTCAATAGCCTTGTAAACGCTGGGCCTGCGGGACCACAGCATCCGAAGCGCTTTTACAAATTCGCCCTCATCGACCCTATCGATCAGCCTTTTGCGACATTCCGATATTACTGCCGCAGCTGGGATCAACTGCGCGATTTGGGGCTGCTTGATCACAATCGTGGTGTTGCTGGCGAAGAGAACGACCTCCCTGTGATAGAGCCGAACGAAGGCGGTGGTACCGATGAAACCATCGAGGGCATAAGGGCCTGTAGCGCCATGAGCAGGGATTCGGAAGATGTCTTTCAGGACTGCAAAGACAACTTTGATGGACGAGCCGCGAGTGCTACAGGCATACGAGGACAGACTAGGAGTTCGTCAAGCCCTACTCGATCCACATCAGCGGGGAGGCGGAACCCCTTTACCCACAGAGCGTCACTACGTCTGGTGAGCGATACAGAGCAGCCACGCGCCTACATCCCACGCGGTGCACCAGGCCCGAAGGCAGATCTGGCAGTTGATCATGTAGGGGAGAATGCACAACAGCGCCATGGCATTGTCCGCACACCGACCCCGTTCTACCGGCTCTCCATACCACCGTCTATCAGACTTGGGCCGCCAGAACCAGCTTCACGGCCTCTTACTACGCTTCCCATCAAGAACGACTTCGAGACATCCACGTCATACCACCCGCATCCTGCGTATCCACTCGACGACTGGACTGTGCGCACTCCCAGCCCCGTCAAATCGGTTCGGGACGGCATATCCACTCCGCCGCCGTTCAAGCGCAGAGAGCAAGGTCGGTCGGCTTCTGCATTGATGAGCGTGATTGCATCTGCTTGGAAACGTCGAGGATCACAGACGCCAGATGAATCGCTGCGAACAGTCGCCACGGAAGATGCGCAGAGGTTGCTGTGATGTTTGGCGCGTGACAGAGCCGCGGTTGGCAGTGTGGTTGCAAGTGCTCTGAAGCGAGCACGTTGACATTGCGAGATTGGAGCATAGGATGAGGCTGAGAGGTCGATGGCTTGTCCCTGAGAGCTTCTGATGCTGCTGTACGCTACTCAATCAACATTTGAGATGTCATGAGGTCAGGACGCGTAAGATGAAACGTGGGACGATTGCCGATCGGCACGATGATGCAAGGCACCACGCCGTGATTCGCTCCTCCACAACCCCGCAAACTGCAGCTGCCTCGAGCTTCCATCCCAGCTGACAGCTCCAACACTGTTGCGTGCTTCATGCTTCTTTGCGTATACAATAGCCCATAACTCATGATTTCGTCATTATAGCGTCGAGCATATTCTTTTGGTATCGACCTTGCGACGATAGTCCTTCAACTCCACCATGCGTCCCTTTACTGTCGCAGCTGCGGCGCTCCTAGCAAGCGTGGTAGATGCGTCGACTCTCCAACCACCCGTCCTTCCGTTGATCGTGCGGAACCCATATCTGAGCACATGGCTGCAAAACGCAAGGGAAGAGCCATGGAGCAAATGGCCCATGTTCTGGACTGGATCTGAGGTTGGCTTCAGTGTCATGGCGTCTGTCCCTGACACGAACGAAGTCTACCCTTTACTCGGCCGACCTCATGATTCTCTGGAGCAAAAGGACAAGGAGTATGTTTACTCTGACCTCTCGCAGCGCAATCATTGCTAATTCCTGCCTGTACTAGTTACGCGATAGCATACCCTATATACCGGGGTGCTAAATACGACGCGTCGACCACCAACCTTACGTACTCGATACCAGCCCCCGATGCACTCCGCTCAGCGAAAGACGTAGAGATCACCTTGTCCTTCCTCTCACCCATCACACCGACCTCGACTTTGCGCCAGACCATACCGGCAGCATACCTGTCTATACACGTGGAAGGGACGTTCGATGTCAACATATACGTGGACGTGAACGGACAGTGGGTCAGCGGCAAGAGGGAGAGCCTGATAGAATGGGGCTTGTTCCAGCATGTCGCGCCGGGTCTGAACGATAAGCTGAAGACGTGGCAAGTCAAGCGACAGGTTGAGCAGCTCTTCACCGAGACGAACGATCAGCCCGAGTGGGGTCAGCTGCACTTTACTGGGCCAGTCGATGCGCGCCATGAATCGGGCACATCCGCGCTCTTGCGCCAGCGGTTTGCTCGAACCGGAACGTTGCAGAACGAGGTCGATGGGAACTTCCGCGCCGTCATGGATGAAGAGCCCGTGTTTGCATTTTCGAAAGCCTTCAAGTTGGCAAACTCTTCCACTACCGGCTCCAAATCCAGCAGCAACAGTGAGAGCGTGCTGTTCACGATAACCCACATCCAAGATCCGGTCACACAATATGCATCTGCTCGCGGTCTTACGTTCATGCGGCCGTTGTGGAAGTCCTGGTTCCCTCAAGACGACAAGCTCATTCAATTCCATTACGGCGATTTCGCAATGGCCAAAAGCCTCGCTGGCAACTACTCGGAGCAGCTGCGCATCGATGCCTATCAATCTGGCTCGACGAACTACGTGGATATCGTTGCCTTGTCTGCACGACAAGTCATGGGTGCCACGAGCTTCTCCGGAACCAAAGACAACCCGTTGCTCTTCCTAAAAGAGATCTCCTCCAACGGCAACAGTCAAACAGTCGATGTCATCTTCCCGGCTTTCCCGTTCTTCCTGTACACGCAACCTAGGTGGTTGGCATATCTGTTGGAGCCACTTCTGGAACACCAGCTATCCGGCCAGTATCCCAACAAGTACTCGATGCATGATCTTGGCGCACACTTCCCTAATTTGACGGGACATGCCGATGGACGAGACGAGTACATGCCTGTTGAGGAGTGTGGCGATATGCTGATCATGGGTCTGGCACTGGTCAACTCGTTAAGCTACAACTCCGACGCACAAGCTCAGTCCATCTGGTCAGCTATCGGCAACGACGCAGACCGTAGTACTGATGCAACCAACGCATTTTCTCTGAACGGCGTCGGACTGCACGACGGAGTTGACTACATCGATGAGACTTGGGGCGGAAGCACCAAAGGCATTGACCAAGCGAAGAAGTGGCTGGAGGGCAGCTATGACCTGTGGAAGCAATGGACGGGCTATCTTGTCGAAGACGCTCTTGAGCCTCACAACCAGCGTAAGTATCGACCCGCTATATTTCGAAATACAAGCTAACGCGTATCATAGTCTGCACTGATGACTTCGCTGGCTGGCTGCCACTTCAAACGAATCTTGCCTTGAAGGGCATTGTCGGCATCAAAGCCTTCAGTGAGATTGCTGACCTCATGGATCGTCCTGGAGATGCAGAGCACTACCGCAACATTTCAGAGACGTACATCAAGAAGTGGCAAGAATACGGCATGTCGCGCGATGGTACACATGCCAAACTCGCCTACGACTGGTACGGCAGTTGGACCACTCTATACTCGCTTTACGCCGATGCCGTACTCTGCTTCCACCCCACCATCACAAACTCGTCTTCTATCTCAGAACAGCCAGATTACGCATCTGGAAACGATGAAGCGCAGAGGCCTTTGTCGCCTTCTAAGCACTCCTCCGGCCGCGAACCCATCACCGAGGATTTTATCCCAGACAAAATCTACAACCTCCAGAGTGACTGGTACTCCACGGTAATGCAGAAATACGGTCTTCCCCTCGACTCTCGTCACTTGTACACCAAGTCCGATTGGGAGTTCGAAGCCGCTGCAGTTGCAAACAAGAAAGTGCGCTCGGAGATTCTTGATCGCGTGGCTCTTTGGTTGAATGAGACCGTCACGGACCGCCCTTTCACGGATCTTTATGTCACTGAAGGTGATGGTGGGTTTCCTGGGCCTTGGTTCTTTGCGAGACCGGTTGTTGGTGGGCACTTTGCGTTTTTGACGTTGGAGAGGGCTTGTGGTGGTGGTGGGAAGTGAGGTGAAGAACGTTGATGAGTCGACGTTACTGCATGTAGACGGCAATCGGCGGTGAGGAGATTGGATACTAGATGGATGCGACTATTTCCTAAAGTATCACTCAAAGTCATTGCAATCAGAGCATCATGAGACGAATGCGAACATAAGAAGATGCGAATTTTCACCACCGTTTGTATAATTCGAACTCGCAGCGCTTCGCGTCATGCTCTCATTGATCGAGCGTCTACTTCCAGGGTATGTGAGCGCTGATCCAGCCGTATCCGTCGTAACCGAGGTACAGCTCTTAGCGGTTCAATGTACCTCTCCTGAACAACAATCCTCACACCCACGCGCATTTGCATCAACATTTCCAACGAACCAACACGCGTCTGAAGTTACATGATGCCGTATCCGGTACCCTATGGCGGCCGATTGGCGTGCTGTACTCCGTATGGCTGAGTTGATAAACGCGCTTTGTGCCGAATACGGCGCGCTCAAAGAAAGTGATGCCTCGCGACGATGGCTTCGGATGTTTTCGCCTTTGTCAGAGAGTTCCAGATCAACAAAGGGTCCGCGACATCGAAGTGGTGTCTTTTGGCAGCGAACCTTGGAGTTCTCGAGTCCTACTGAACACCACCACCACACCCTTTGAGCCACCAATTCGAGCATCGACATCTCCGACGAATATCTGGACGACACCATGGTGCTTTATCATGCGAATGGAAGAGTTGTTGATCAACACGATCAATACTTAGACGATGAAGCACGGAGTCTGGCGGATCATTATCGATACATCGAGCAGATTGATATTTGCAACCAAAAGACTGCGGACGCTTCCACTGATAAAGTTGAAATCATTATCGATGAGCAAGAGTATAGAACACTCTATTGTGAGAGGGAGGGACATTGGGAAACCATCAAAAAGTTCAGGCGGAAAACCGCATACCATATTCCAACGACGGTTGATCGCGCTACTTTGAGGAAGTGTTCGACCTTCGCCGATGATCACTTCACATACAATCCGGGGGCTAAGACGCTTCATCTGCCAGTGCGTTATCCGAGACAACATCATGCTGCTCTGGGCGAGTTATCGACTCAGGATTTCAACATCAACTATCATGTTTGCGTTGATGGAAAAAGACTCGCCGAACAACCCGATGATCAAATGGCGTTCATACGACCGGAGGAAATCAACGAATACGTCATTCCATGGCTGCAAAAAGTGCAAAAACAGATCAATCGCAAAGGAGATGAATTAGACAAAGAGGACGATGCAGGACCACCCAAGGAGACGTGGCGCGCACGCCAGCCAACAGGGCCTGACGGTGCTGTCGCCATGGGAATTCCAGTTGCACTTGACGACAAAATCCATCTCTACAACGCTATGCTGCAGCTAGGCCTGCCCAAATTCGTGCAACTGGTAAGAAAGAACTCCTCCGATGCATGCCTGTTTGTAAGACATAGACTGACCATACACCCAACGTTTTAGCCACTCATTGACGAAATCGTCATGCAGATGTACAAAACCAAGATCAATGCGTGTCATCTCGCCACCCTGGAGCATACTGTCGGGCGCTTTTACTCCAGGGGTGTTGCTGTCCTTGACCCAGTTCTTTGTCATTTCATCGGAACGTATCCTCGCAGGACCTTGCAAGATCGCAGAAATGTCAGACCTCCACCTGAAAGCGATACCGAATCATCAGATGATACGAACAAGACTAGCGAACAAGCGCCAGAAGAAGCGCAGGGTACTGATACTCAATCGGGAGAAGAACTATCAGCATCAGCACCAGCACCAGAACCATTTGACTTCAAGAACTCAGAGAGAAAATATTTCGGTTACCATCCTCAACCTGCGGGCCGTGAAAAATTCCCTAAAGATACGTATCTTCTTCCCCCTGAGCTGCCAGTCATCGGTCATAGTATAAAGCATTGGTCCGGAGTCCGCAAGAATGGCAGCACAGCTGCGGCTCATAACGGCTTTCCTCTCAACATTGGAAAATATAAGAAGTTCATTCGGAGGAACGCGACGGATGTGATCGATGTCAATGAC